GGGAGAGTTGGGGGGTTCAGCCTGGAGAAGAGAAGGCTCCGGGGAGACCTTAGAGCCCCTTCCAGTGCCTAAAGGGGCTCCAGGAGAGCTGGGGAGGGACTCTCGATCCGGGAGGGGAGCGATGGGACAAGGGGGAACGGTTTTAAACTGAAAGAGGGGAGATTTAGATGAGATATGTTTCCCTGTGTGGTTGGTGAGCCCCTGGGGCAGGTTTCCCCAAGAAGCTGTGGCTGCCCCATCCCTGGAGGTGTTCAAGGCCAGGTTGAACGGGGCTTGGAGCAACCTGGGCTGGTGGGAGGTGTCCCTGCCCAGGGCAGGGTGGTTGGAATGCGATGAGCTTTAAAGTCCCTTCCAACCTGAACCATTCTATGATAAATCAAACCCACAGCTGCATGAGCACAGGAGAGGCTGTGGGAAGATGGGAGCTGTGGGTGCTCAGGGACTATGGCTGAGGCAGCTGGTAGAAACCCCGAGGCAATGACAGCCCATTACCAGGAGCTTCATCCCGGCTTCAGGAAGATGCCATGTCATTTACAAGTGATGCAGCTGTCAGGATGAGACAGGGATGGCAGGCAGGGAAAGACAATCTCAATGGAAAATATGCAAGAATGACACTGAAGATACACAATGGGGGTGAAGGAAAGAGACAGTGTGAATGAGGAGGGAACTGAAGGAGGAGGAGCAGAGCAGGCACACGTATCAGGGACCCACGCAGCTCTGAAGCCGTCAATAGCAGGAACTCACTTATACAGACAAGATGTTTTGTGCAGCAGAACCACAGAGCCATTGATCACCGAGTGACAGATTTGCAGAGGTTGGGGGAGGGCTGTTTGGAAATGGCACCCTGGAGGCATGACGGCCAGGACGAGGGTCAGGCTGCATTACCTGATGACGTCGGAGGCTACGTCTGTCCATGAACATCAACTTCAGCTCTGCACAGAAGGGGCTGCTGCAGACAGTGGTCTGTCACAAATATTGAGAGATCAAGTAAGAATCACGTCCTTCCTTAACAGACTAAAGAATATGGGTAACTGCACAAATCACAAAAGCTGTTGTCTTCCTACGTTCTTGTGCTATGACTGTCAAATTATTAACGAAAGGCCACATTTGATACTATCTTAAGGAGCTGCAGTGCCAGCAATGTATCCTGTGTGCTAGTTAAATAACTGCTGCCTCTACAAACCACAATAACAGAAATCCCTGCACACAAGGGTGTTCACATTTGGAATCATCCTGACTGAAACAAACATTCAATGCTGCTTTGCTGGGTTTCAAGTCTGTGCAGACAAGTCATCCCCTACTAGCTCCACCCCAGCACCTTTAACTGGAGTTCCTTAACCTTTGATAATTTTCTTCTCTCTTGAACGCTGCATAACATTACCTGCCACGCAGGAGCCAATTATCCTCTCCAAAGCCCTGTACCACTGGATGGGGCCAACATGACAAGTATGCCAAGGGCTTGCCTCCCCAGCGGGCACTGCCAAGGCCTTGTAACCACAGGGCAGGGCTATGAACAGAAGGGGGAAGGCTCAGTTCCCACACAGGCACTGTCAAGGCTCTGTACCACAGGACAGGTCTGTGAGGGCAGGCAGGCCACAGGCCCAGCCCTCAAGACAGGCTGTGCTGGCTTACCGTACCTGCTGGAGACCAGGGGGAGTAGATACGCGGCCCCTCTCGCTCTCCAGCCGGACCCCGGCCCAATTCTCCCCCGCAGCCCGGGCCTACACCGCGCTTCGCGCCTCAGAGCTGCCGCCTCGAGGAAACGCTCAGCGCGCATGCGCCACAGCCGCCTCGGTCCGGCGCGGGCAACCTGTGCGCATGCGCAACACAGCCCTCCACCCCCCCCTCCCCGCTCCTGCGCAGGCGCCGTGAGCCCCCGGGGGGCGGATTCTC